GTCTATAGACGACGGTTACCACTTTCCATCAAGTGGGCCATCAGCTTGCTTGCCATTCTAAGTTGTATAAAAAAAATCAAAACTATCTTAAGGACGAGGAATGGGCACCAGCGTCTCTCTTAGGACAGTTGAAGGCTAATATGATGATGAAAACAAAACTACTTCATCATCATCATTATTAAACATCCGCTTTTAACTGTCCATTGCTGAACATAAGCCTCTCCCATGGGTGGTTTAGTCAGTAGTTGCCACACTTGGCAGGAAGATTGGCAACTGCAGTTAGACTTTGGTGATGTTGTTTTACGAGGGACGCTGGTGCCAATCACTCCATCACTAGTTTTCGTTCACTTATCCATACTTTATACTTGTTCGCCATTTTACGTTACATAAGAGAGGAACTTGCTAAAAATTACCGTTAAACTAGTTATGAGTATGTTTTCGCATTATATTATAAAAATAAACTATAAAATGGTTCGTTGAACTTAGGTATAATACTTTATAGTGAATTAAAGTTAACATACGCATTCAGTACAGTTAACAAGATGAATAAGCTAGCTATAAGCGGTTACAATAAAAGGAAGCAAATGTTTAAATATTTAAATATGTATATATGTGAATAAATATAATAGATACATATATAAATATTATAAATAATAAATTATATTAATTGAAATATGTACGTTATATATTTTAAAAGTTATATATATTTAACCCCTCTTTGCATAGTGGTGGAAATTTCCATCATAACATTGAATGCCCAAAAATTATATAAAAGAACAAGTTCACTTTAAGTTGATCGTGTCTGGATACCTTTTTAATGTCCATTGCAGAATAAAAACCATAGCTGTCAAATTTATTTTGTTAATCATTTTTCCTTTAATTTTAAACATGAATTATATCACCTTGATTTATTTCACCAATAAAAAAAAAATCATGCAAAGAAGGATTAAATATATATATTTAAAAAAGATAAGTTTAGCGATTCAAAAAGGTAATGTTGCTAGTGTCTTGGGTATGCTGCCTCGACGTGGTGCGTTGGGAGACCATTTACAATTAATTGTAAATGTTGATATTATGGATTAATTAAGTTTAAATGTAAATTTGTCATTTTTAGTATATAAAGCAGACATTGCTATTTCAGTAATGAATATTTTGTACTAATTAATTTCTTGTGTGTGTGTATGTGTGTTTAAATATACTCAATAAAATATATAATACATTTTGTATATTGAAATAATGTAAAATAAATATTTAATTCATGTTTTTTAATTTTATTATAAAACATCACCGTCGATTTAGTTAAATATTTAGTGATACTATTATTTTTCGAAAGTTTAAACTTATTACTTTTTTTTATAAACCATTATTACTCGCGACTCCGTCCGCATAACCGGGATATACTTACTGACCGGAGTAGAATGTAGCCTATAATTTTTTCTCAATTCCATATAGTACGTGAATACTTAAAATTTCATAGCGTTTGGTTAAGCCGTCAAGAAAATTCAACCCTTAAGAGGGTAAAATGGGGATTGAGAGTTTGAAAATTAATCAGTTTAGAAGTTAGACACGTAAAATTTTTTATTTAGGTTTTTGGTTCAAAACAACAATTAATATGTTTATTGGCTTTTGAAGAATTCACATCTAAAGGGTTGAAAGTATTCATGGGACTTCTTTTATAATTGAAACTAAAAGTACGAAAGTTTAATTTTAGATTTCTGATTAGAAATAAATAAAATAATTTTCAGCGTTTTTAAAAATTTCACCCCTAAAGGGAAGAAAAAAGGGGGGCTAATTTTGTTATTTTTGTAGTTAGAAGCATTAGTTTAGACGTAAGCTTCTTTTTAGGCTTTTGATTAAAAACGAAACGTTTATCAGCAGTTTTTTAAACTTAACCCTTAAGGTAGTGAGATAAGAGATGATTTGATTTAGATTAAAATTTGTACGTAAATATGTAAGGCAAAGTGTTAAATTTAGTCTTTTACTAAAAAATAAAGCGTTTTATCATTTTTGAAAACCGAATACCATACGCGAGCGAAGTCGCGGGAAAAAGAAAATTACTAAAAGTTAGGTTGAAACTGAGCGGGGACCATTTCGGCTGTTACCAAGGGATATTTATTTATTTGTTTATACTTTAATGTACACAAAAATTACATTGATTTAATTTATATTAAATGAAAATGTACAACAGGTGAGCTTAACTCTGTAAGAGTTCTTTTCCAGCAAACCCTGAGTGGAAAGGACCATTAATTTTTATTACTTTAATGTCTAAAATTGTCATTAATATATGTATATATGTTTAATAGCTGAATAAACGATTTACTATTTTTTTTAAACAAATTTTACATCTCCACTCTTAACGAGAGGAGATGGTAAACTACATATTATTAGAAAGAAAAAAAGAAATATTTATTGCCAACAACAAAAAGAGTTACATTAATTATCAATATTATTGTAAGAGCTAGTATAAAAATAATCACTATTTACCATTGTTCCATTATAAAACATGAGTTTTGTGTATCCGCCTGTCATTGTTTTTCGGTGCCTTTGACGTGACGACGACCCCTCTGTAGATGTAATCTCTGTGGCTGATAACGGACTATTATTATTATAAAAAATAACTTTATATTAGTATGTAATTTTTCTGAATACTTTAAAAAAAATGTTCTTTTCATTGACTTTCTGTTACTTGACTTAAATAAACCAATGATTTTTGAGTCAAAGATGTTGATCTTGAAGGTCTTGTTAGTAATGTACCTAAATATAGGGTTCGAAATATAAATTGTGCCTTTACTTTTTTTTTATTAATCATTAAATTGTGTACCATAAAAAAATTAACTTCAGCTATGGCCAAATTAGTAATTTTTATTTTAAATCAAAATTTTGATTTTGATTTAAAACTACTGAACCGATTTTGATAAAATTTCTATGGAACTAATCTGTAAGTATATCATTTCAGAAAAAAAAAAAGAATTTTCCAAATCGGTTTACAACTGATGGAGTTATGTCAGTTGTAAGACGGAGAGATGTACCACCGCCCTTTCCTTTCCTGTGGGTGTCGTAGGAGGCAACTAAGGGAGGGCGAGGAATGGATAGCAGCGTCTCTTTTAAAATATCCTCAAAGGCTTAAATGCGGTTGCCAACCCGCCTGTCAAGCGTGGCAACTACTGCGGAAACTATCCTTATGGGAAAGGCTTATGTCCAGCAGTGGACAGTTAACGGCTGAAATAAACAAATATATGCTATATATATGTTGGATTTCTGAAGCTTATAAAGGAGATACGGAACTCACATTCTGTGTACGATTCCGGTGAGTATTTTTTTTTTACTTTATGTATTCTAAAATTATCTAAAATATCTAAACACTTTCTCAGAAAAAGGACATTCAGTAGTTTTGTTTGTTTGAGCAAATATCTGGAATTGCCAACCGGTTTATATAAAATTCTTACGCACTGAATAATATGTCAGACTAGTTGTGAGCCGAGGCTTTGCTTAATAAATAAGGATATAAAATTAATATTTTGTAGTAGAAATCTTCCTTAAAATTTTACCAATACTATTTTTAACAATACTATATGATTTTATAAGGTCGACCTCCCCGTCGTGGTTCCCCCTTGGAAACCGTCGTGAACAATTCTTGTTGAATTCGTCACGATGGGCCAACTGACCTGCTTCATCCTCACCTATCATCCTTCACGGGTGCCCCGCCGGTGTATACCGATAGCGCGGGTGGGGTTGCCATTCCATTACCACCCACTAAAAAAAATATATATATATGATTTTATAGCGTGTTTGTTTGTTTATTAAATAGATGATAATGAAATCATTACTGACAATCCCTTTCTCCCCCGAGTTGTTTGGTTGTTACCTTTTGGTGGTTTAACGGCTCAACAATTCCTTATGAAAGTGTCTGATTATGGTTGTACGCGTTACAACTTAGAGTATGTATTTGTATTAATATTCAATTGAACATACGACTAGTCTGATGATCAGCGATTGTTCTAGCTTATGAACGCCAGCAACACCAGGGTTCCACATGCATATTGCCATTGCCAAAAACGGGCCGATTTTTTGGTCTGGTGTACGTGAATAGATATACCATGCTGCAGGTTCTGGAGATAACCTCGGAGGAACCTCGCCCTCTCAATCCATACGTCCTCAGGAAAAATGCTCTAAAATTGTTTCAACATAGTTTTTAAGTAATTTCTAGATGGTAATAAATGTTCTATCTGTTCTCCTTTAACCAAAGGTTGTCCTAGCGATAAGACCGCCTTTTGTACCTTTATGTGTATATTCTGTATTTATGTTACTGTATTTCACTTGAATTATTCACTTGTCATTGTATATTTTTATTTATGGTGCAATAAAGAGTTAAATAAATAAATAAATAAAATAGATAGATATATAATTTATTTGCGTTTCTTAGGTATGATACCTAATTTTATTCATGGAAGAGGAAAAAGAATTGTTAATAATGGAAGTTTAAAAGGTCCATTGCTCACAATATACCCTCTCAGGCCGACTTCCACGTTGTTTCTCTTAAAAACAATCGTGATTAATTCTTGTTAAATTCGTCACAATGGGCCAACTAACTTGCTTTCATCGTCACATATCATTCCATTATCACCCATTAAAAAAAAAATATATTTATCCGTGCTATTAACCAATGTTAAAATCCAACAAATAATTTACCATTCGAATCTTGCTCTATTGTGTTTTATTTCTACCCGTCGCGTCATTACATACGTCTTTATTTTTGTATAGAATAACGAATGTCAAACCTAATATGGCGATATGCAATTTAAATTGTAATTTGCAATATCTGCTTGTAACAATAATTTATAAATGCATACTTTATGGCAGTATACATATTATGTCGTAACTCCAATGAGGTCGTTAACCAGTAATGTTTTAAAAAAAAATCAAAATACTACAATGGGCAGTAGAGATGCGCCATCATTGCTCTATATAAACATCATCTAGCGAAATGTATCACAGTGTGTTGGTAAAACTGGAGCAGTTCGTTTGCGGTTTCCGAACGAATTTGCGCGCGCAAATTTCGTGTGTTCGAAAATAGTTGGCGGTGTTTTTTTTTTTCAACAGAAAAAAAAAGTTTTGTGTGAACTTTTTGTTTAGAAAGAGGTTTGTTTTATTTCATGTGTATTTATTATTAAACTATTACTTTAGTCTTAGGCTAAGTCAGTGATTTCAAATAATATTTTATATTAAAATTATCCCATTGTATGTATATGTTACAGATTAATTAATAAAAGATATAAATTTATTATTCTTATATTTTCTTAGCATATTAGTAAAGTACAAGCTATATTATTAAATAAGTACTTATCTAAGGTACTTATTTTTTTATTGAACTATTATTATTGATCTACATAATAATTACTTTATTTACATATTACAATTAGAAAATAATAATAATAGGATACTAGCTACTTTTTAGCTTAATTTGTCTGGGAAAAGCTAATGTGTTAATTACCACATATATATTAAATTTTATTCAATTTTTTTAAATATTTATAAACCATTTATATAATAATATAAACTTATTAAATATATAGTACAAATTATATAATTAAAAAAAAGTATCTTCAAAACAGGTTCTCAACTATTAAATTATTGCTTGATATTCTTATAAAAGGTAGGCACATGAAAACTTTTACTACTTTTTTTTAGATTGGTTAGTTATTTAGCTTAGTTAGAATACATTGTCGATTTTTCTGTTGGAAAATCGACAATGTATTCTAACTGAACAATTAAAAAAAACTAAATGAGCAAATATTATTATAAATACATTACAAGTTAGTATATATATATATATATATATATATATATACACACACACTATGTATGTATGTATATATATGTGTGTGTGTGTGTGTATATATATAACTATCACTGCCATTGCTAGCAATATACACTATAATGTCGACTTCCACGTGGTTCCTCCTGGAAACCATTGTGCTGAATTCCTGGTGTATTCATCATGATGCGCTAATTGGCCGGCCTTTTCATTTTCACCCCTGACTGATGCCCCGCCAGTGTATACCGATAGCGCAGACCCCCGTCCCGTAACCCCTTATCATACCATTATCACACATTAAAAAAACCCTTGTTGCATAGGAAAAAAATATTCAGATTTATTGGTAGGATGCTAGTGACTTCGATTTCACCTGTACCTACTTAGATAAAAATTTAATCAGATAATATGAACTTGAATTTATTTAAGCTCCATTATTATTATTTTTTTTATGCAACCTATAATGGCAAACAAGCTGACGGCCCACCTCATGGAAAGTGGTAACCGTCGCCTATAGACATGGCAGTACCATGGACATAACAGAGTATACTGTTTCGCCCATGATACCCCCCATGCGTTGCCATTCCTGAGGACTCAGGTGTTATTCCTCTGTACCCTGTAAATTCACGCCATATTCCACCCTTCCAACCGAAACACAGCCATGCAAACACAGCTGCTTCACGGTTGAAACACGAATGGGACAGAGTGTATCAGTGCTTAATTTGAATTGTGTACAATAAAGATTTTACAATACAATAAAATATCAATAGTTTTTGCGTGAAATAGTAATATCCATCCATCCATTCAATTATACAAATTTTCACGTTTATGATATGAATGGGGGTAAAAAAATCGACTTCTATTGTGACAAAATAATTTATTTTAATTTAAAAACTAAACTACTGAGCCGATTTTAATAATATTTTATCTAATTAGTGAGTATATCCTTTCAGGTAAAAAAATAATTTTCCAAATCGATTTACAACTGACGGAGTTAGGGGGAAAGGGTTTGTTAGTAATGCGGATTACTAGTCCCATTGCTAGCGATGTACCCTGTCAGGTAGACCTACACGTGGTCCTCCCTGAAAACCATCGTGCTGAATTCTAGATGTGTTCATCACGATGGCCTAACTGGTCTTTTGATTCTCACCTATCATGGTGCCCCGTCAGCGTATAGTGTTAGCGCAGGCGAGGTTACCATTCCATTATCATCCATTATAAAAACACAAATTTTTTTGATGAGTGAAAATGGTATGGTAACCCCGCCTGCGCTAATGGGATACGCTGGTGGAGCACCAGTGAAGGGTGATAGATGAGAATGAAAACAGACCAGTTAGCCCATCATGATGAATTCATCAGGAATTAACCATGACAGTTTCCAGGGGAAACCGCGAGGAAGTCGATCTGGTTGGGTATATTGCTAGCAATGTGATTCTCAGTCTCCATTACTAACAATCCCTTTCCCCCCGACAGTACACATTAAAAACATTTTCAAAACATAAGAATCACGCATGTAATTCAAATGTTCCCTTTTCTAAATCGGTTAAAATGTGAAGTCTAGCATAACAAATATTAACACTTTCATACGACATTTATCTCTCTCATACGACAGTGCTAGACGTAAACATCTGGTACATACCTTATTACACCAGCTGTTAATCCCGTGAGACATAAGTACATGCAAATTAAGTGCTGTTAATTAACCAACATACAATTTTCATGTTACCTCATCACCATTGTATCATGGACTTTCCTCGCGTGAGAAAATCGTCCACAATTGTGGACTGTTTGATCTATGTGCTGATAATGTTGGATGGAGACGCGATGGACTTTTAGGATAGAGTTTTTATGGGTAATAATGGAATGGTAACGAGGCCTGTGTTATTGGGATACGCTGGGGCACCAGTGAGGGAAGATAAGTGAAGATCAGATCAGAGTTGGTCCATCGTGATGAATTGACCAGGTACCAACCACACTAGTTTCTAGGTGTGACCGTGTGGAGGTCGACTTAACAGCGTATATTGTTAGCAATGGGGCCGATACTCCCCATTACTAACAGTTTACTTTTTAGCTTAGTCTATATTTTTTACCATTTTATATACTATGTGTATTAGAAAAATGACAAATGGCGTCGAGAGGTAACAAACAAATCCACTTTTACATTTTTAATATTAGTAAGAAATACAAATTAGTCTGTTTCCTATATTTTTTTTTTTGATTGAATACATACACATATTACTCAGCGCCATCTATTAATAAGCTAAGCAAAGTTTTATACTATGGTTACTAGACAACTAATTAACAATACGATACTTTTATGTTTGCGAATTTATAGTCATACAGGGAAAATTCTATGGGTGTTATAAATGCGAAAGCTTGTAAGGATAGATGGTTGTTTGTTAGTCTTTCACGCAGAAACTATCGAATATATGATATCGGTATCGTACTAATATTTATATATTGAGTTCCTCTCTATACTGATTTTACATTTATCTTTTGTTTAAAAAAGTGTAAATAATCATTTTTTTTTTATACAACTTAGAATGGCAAACAAGCTGACGGCCCACCTGATGGAAAGTGGTAACCGTCGCCTATACACATGAGCAGTACTATGGACATAACAGAGTATACTGTTTCGCCCATGGTACCCCCCATGCGTTGCCATTCCTGAGGACTCAGGTGTTATTCCTCTGTACCCAGTAAATTCACGCCATATCCCACCCTTCAAACCGAAACACAGTCATGCAAACACAACTGCTTCACGGTTGAAACACAAATGAGACAGAGGTACTCAAGCAATCGACTTTTGTACAAAGTCTGTGTAAACTCATTTGTTAATTTACATGTATCATAAATGGTTCAAATAAAGTGTTTATCTATCTATCTATCTATCTATCTATCTATTGATGCCAATCATTATTCATTTCCGAATCTCATACACAAGTCGGATATTTGTATTAATTTCAATCAGGTTATTCATTTGTACATATATTAGATAATAGGTATTTAACATATTCGTTATTGGGCCAATATATATGTAGATATTGCAAATAAAATATATAGGTATTCTTATAAATTTAAAACTGTTAGTAATGTAGACTACCGGTCGCATTGCTAGCAATATACCCTGTCAGGCCGATCTCCACGTGGGCCCTGCTGGAAACCACCGTGCTGAATCTCAGGTGTGTTCATCACGATGGGCCAACTTACCTGCTTTCGTCCCTCACTGGTGCCCCGCCAGCGTATAACATTAGCGCAGGCGGGGTTACCATTCTATTATCATTCATTAAAAATACTATTTATGGTACCCCAATCAATTCTTATTATTTTAAAATATAATATAATAAAGAAGCAGGTATGTAGGTACCATTTACCTGTAAATGTGTTTACATCGCGTTAAATCTCTATTGTGTATTTGAAATATGTGTGAACAACGCTAAAGTTTAAAATGTTAATTTTAAACTAATTCTTGTTATACCTTGCTAGGTATTATAACGCATGGGGGATATCGTGGGCGAAACAGTATACTCTGTTATGTCTATGGTACTGCTCATGTCTATAGGCTACGGTTACCACTTTCCATCAGGTGGGCCGTCAGCTTGTTTGCCATTCTAAGTTGTATAAAAAAACCTAGTATTGAACTGTTTTCTTTCTTTTTACAGGATACAATAAGTCATCGAGATGATTCATATTAAGGTAAATTATTTTTATTTGTTAAAAATAAATTATTTATATAATTACTAACTTTTACCTGTTACTTTGTCTGCATGATCGGAGTATATTCATTGACTGGGACAAAACGGAAACTACGTCCTTCATTTTTTTCTAACAAACACATGGCCCACCTGATGGTAAGCGGTTACCGTAACCTATAACATTCATTCATTCATTATAACATTTGTTCCATTCCATATAACACGTGTATTCTAAATTTCACGACGATTGGTTAAATTGTTAAGACGCTGTGAGGTAACAAACAAACTTACTTCCTAGTTTACAATATTAGTAAAGATTTAGTAATACTTTAACTTATCCTATTTAGTTAGTTAATTTTTTTTGGTACAATTTACTCCTAACGCAATGCGTTTTTTTATACAACTTAGAATGACAAACAAGTTGACAGCCCACCTGATAGAAATTGGTAACCGTCGCCTATAGACATGAGCAGTACCATGGACATAACAGAGTATACTGTTTCGCTCATGATACCCCCCTTGCGTTGCCATTCCTGAGGACTCAGGTATTATTCCTCTGTACCCTGTAAATTTACTGCCATATCCCACCCTTCAAACCGAAACACAGCCATGCAAACAACTGCTTTACGATTTATTTATCAAATGCCTGCATGGAAAGGGGAGCATTGGTGAAAATACTAAATTGTAATTGTTTTTCTTTGGAGAATATGTTCAGTTTACAACCAACTTTAAAAAGAAGAAGCCATTCAATTCGGTTGTATTTTTTTTAGGACTTTTTCTCATAACTCACTAACTAACTCTTCGACTCGTTGCAACGACGAGCTATGAGAATTGTCGATGATCCCAGGCTTACAAGCGGTATCGAACCCTTAAGTTTTAGGAGAGATTTTGCCTCATTTTGCATATTCTACCGCTTGTATAACGAATTATGCTCAGAGGAATTATTCAATATGATGCCCACGGCCACTTTCTATCATCGTACGACTCGCCATCGACAGGGAGTTCATCCTCATATCCTATAGCCTAAATGGTCGCGTACAGCGCGGATTCAGATATGTTTTTTCCCACGGACACTCAGGTTATGGATTGAGGTTTTCCCAAGAGACTACAGTATGGGGTTCTTCAAAATGGGGGGTAAAGAGGTTTCTTTAAGGTTGGCATCGCGCGCGAAATACCCCTGGTAGTATAGGCGTTCATAGGCTACGGTAACTGCTTACCATCAGGTGGGCCGTATGCTTGTTCGCCACCTCAGTGGTATAAAAAAAAACAGTAATAAATAAACAGACTCACTTTCACTTTGATAATATTAATAGAGATGTAGACTAGTTATTTGTATTAAATATGGTGTCATCTCTATATATTATAATGTCATTAGATGATCTGATTACTCCGCGATCATATAATAATATGCAATGTCACGGTTGGTACGCGTACGGTTGCATAAGCGGTTGATTGTTCCAAATTATACTAGGCATACCTGGCTGGTCACGCATACACGATACCAAATTAAGAGAGCCCATGACAGTTTCGTAATATTCATACGTTTACATTTACTAAATAGATACACTTACTAATATAATAAAATTGTAACTATACCATGTCTGTAGATGGGGAGGTATTTAAGAAAAATTTATACGAGGGATCTTGTTGGGATGGAGGGAGGAATATTAAATAAGTAATTGTCTTATAACAAACAATTGTATATTTGACGGACGAAACTGGGAAATCCATCATAGTCCCGAATATGGTCCTTCGAGCCGGATTAAATATTTTTTACATTTTTTTTATTAAATATACGGAACCAATTTATTATTAAAGGACAATTATTTATCTAATATTTTATTTGTTGGCTTAGGTTGTCACTCATTTCATTATTTTTATTATAATTCCATTTCATTTAATGAGTTTTTTTATGCAACTTAGAATGGCAAACGAGCTGACGACCCACTTGACGGAAAGTGCTTAGCGTCGTTTATAGATATAGCAGTACTATGAACATAACAGAAGTATACTGTTCCGTCCATAATACCCCCCATGCGTTATCATTCCTTAGGACCCAGGTGTTATTCCTCTGTACCCTGTAAATCTGTACTCTGTGAATATTTTTGTTAAAGTTATATTTAACAAAGTTAGTTTAGTATTTAAAGATGCTGTAAATTAACTTATTCATGTAAATATTGTAAATTGTTTATAAAAATTCACTTCACATTGTTTACGATGAAATTTTTTTAAACGACGCTCTGTCATGGAGGAAAGTGTATTAACTGGCTGGGATTAGCCCCTCACGCCTGACATTGACCGCAGAATTACGCCACGTCCAATTATACTACCACCAGATCACAATGTTGGTTAATAAATAATTGCCAATACTAATGGTAGCCGAGTGCTCCACTTGCGAAATATTATTAATAATAATAGTACAATGTAAAGTTTATTATAATACCTACATTGTGGTTTTGTACTGTGTAACCATGTGAATTGGCGATGGATCGTAAAAATGATAGCACTTCTTTGTTCCAATGGACTTTTTTATTCGTGTTCAACGAGCATTTTATTTTTTATTTTATTTAACACTTTATTGTATTAACATTACAGGACTTGATGAAGAATTTTCCGCATTAATAAAAATAATATATAGGAATGTTTCATGCCATTTAAGCAGACCCCTCGTGCGACGACGCGAAGCTGGTGTATGATATGGTTGGATGTAGGTTTTAATGTAGATCTACCTGCCTTGAGGACTGCATCGGACCATAGATTTTTTTTTCACATTCACGACATTCCTTTCATTCATATTACTTGATTTGGTGGTGTCTTTTGTATTTGATTATATTTTGTTAAAATATATCCAATGATGTCCTACAATTGATTAAGGTAAGGTAAAATTGGGTAAGGTAGGATTTTAGAAAGATTTTAATAAAAAGGTACACAAAGATATGCAAAATTATTATAAAAAAGAATGAAATAAGTGACAAATCGAAACATCAATCAATCGATTTTTAATTTGTACTGGACGTTAGACCAACATGGCCGTGTGGTCTCGCCAATGCTTTCCTTTCCCGGGTGCGTCATAAGAGGCGATTAAGAGAGGACGAGCGGCAGCGTCCTGTTATATAGCCGTGGCTATGTACAACATACGAATTTAAAAGTGCTGAACTGCATTTTCGAAACAGTCAGCTGTTAATAATAATGTATGCGTCATACCATCCATTTCCAGCGATTTTTCGATATGTTTTAATTCAGAGCGGATTTGAACCTCAGACGAACAAGACGCTTTACTAATTTTTATAACAAAGACTCGTGTTAATTAAAATAATTTTCTTTTTAAAAAGTCTCATCTGACCCGCCCCGTAACAGTCCCTCTTAAAGCATCTCTAAAGTCTAACTGCGGTTGCCAATCCGCTTGCCAAGCGTGACAACTACTGGACAGTTAAAGGCTGATATGATGACGATGACTGGACATAAGCAAACTGTTTTATAGTCCGGTTAATTATTAATTTGTTTACATTCTCATAAAGTTACCAGAGGGAGACTTTGTACAAAAGTCGATTGCTTGGATACCTCTGTCCCATTCGTGTTTCTACCGTGAAGCAGTTGTGTTTGCATGGCTGTGTTTCGGTTTGAAGGGTGGGATATGGCGTGAAGTTACCGGGTACAGAGTAATAACACCTGAGTCCTCAGGAATGGCAACACATGGGGGGTATCATGGTCGAAACAGTATACTCTGTTATGTCCATGGTACTGCTCATGTCTATAGGCGACGGTTACCACTTTCCATCAGGTGGGCCGTCAGCTTGTTTGCTATTCTAAGTAGTATAAAAAAAAATATCATGAAGTTGCATTGAAACGGATTGTAGATACAATAGGGAGTTATCTGTCTGTATTACTAGTTAGTCCACTCGTGAATACAAAGGTAATGTTAGGCTCCATCCGCGAACTAATGACGCAACATCACACCTACGTGAATAAAGATGCATATTAATATAGCTTGAGAGTTGTGTAGCTGCTGAATTTATGCATTTAGGGCAGCGTCACATGCAGTTGCAAATTACTTTCACTAGAATAGAATTATTTAGATAGATAGATAGACTCTTCTCTCTAACTGCATTGGGTGGTCTGGAAAAGATCTCTTTTGAAGATAAGCTCACCCTTGCTAACAAGTTGTTAAATTAATCGCTGTATATTTTGTTCAAGTGGAATAAAGAATATAATAACTAAACCGCGTGCAGGTCAACCTGATAGGGTGTATTGCTGGCAATGGGTACTGACCCATTGCCTAACTGTAGACTTTCTTACTAACAATCCCTTCCCCCGCCCGGCGGGGGAAAATATTTCCAAAATTTTTTTGATTCTTTTTTTTAGTCTACGAACTTGAAAAAATTTTTTCTAACTTAACCACTATATGGATCGGATAACATGTTCATTCAGCTTTAATTTGCTTTTTTTGCAAAGCTCCCAGAAAACCAGTAATGTTGAGTGTGCCTTTTACAGTTCAATATGCCCACAAAAACCCCACAAAGTTTCGATTCAATCCATCTAGCCGTTTTTTTGTTTTATACGATCGAATTTTTAAAAAGTTAAAGGATAACTTCATCATAAGATCTCAAAACTAGAAACTTTGAGCTTTAAAATCCTTTTTTTAAAATTCCAATACGACCATTTTTAAAGGAAATACAGCTACATGAAAAACCTCAAAAAATTTGTAATTTTTTGCTGATCCCTTAATTTTTTCCACTAGTGTAGATAAAATCTCCGATCACATCCTGGGATGGGCACCAAACAATTCTGGTTTGGGCACTGGCCACCAGGTACCCCCTTAAATACGCCTCAACCATCAACATCGTCATTCCGATAATTCATTTTCCATTGCGCAAGTGATGCATTAAAATCTAATTGATCGCCATGTAAACTAAAGTTTACAACACAAATATAGCTATTTCAAATCTGTTACCATTTCCATTCGCGTCCTATTGTGATCCAAATAGCGTGATTTTACATTGC